AGATTTATATATTAATATTAATCTAGATTTTTAAGTCAGTGTGGTTTCATAAACACTCAAGTTAACCAGAATGTGCCAATTGCCATCACAAATATCTGGAAATTGTGCAGCATAAACTAGGAATTTGAGACAAACTTTCAGTGTTCTGCACTACAAGATTAAGTCAAATTCATTAAAAGGGTCAATTTTTTTAGCGCCTGATTTTGTAAAGTCCCAGGTGCGTGTGATCAGCGTGTGCATGAGATCAATGCAGTCCCTAGTCATGTGTCTGCCTTTGATTTTGACAGCAATGCACTGTAGGTAGCTACCCCACAGATCCTACTGCCCCTTTGCATTCTGAGTTAGGTTCCCAGTGCCTAATGGAACAAAAACATTGCTGTGGATGGTTCTGGGTACATGTTGTCAGCCTCCCATAACGTACTCTTCTCCCTTTCCCCTGCTTGAAAGCAATGGCTAACAATTTTTGTGCCCTTTTTCCCCTGGTTGTCTGTGCAGATGCCATAGCACAACAAGCATGGAGCCTGCTCAGTTTCAAACTGCTGTGGCAAGCATTGCAAACACCTTGTGCATTTATGCTGTGGTTAGCCTGGAGCTTAGCCAGGAGCTCCTGGCGTGAGGAAGAACGTGAGGAAGTCACGAACACATACATGTATGAAACACTTGAGTAGAGCAATTGGCGAATGCTGGCAGCAGTTGACCATGCTGACACAGTGGAATGCTGGTTCTGGTCCTGAGAGACAAGCACAGAGGGGTGGGACTGCAACGTTATGCAGCTATCAGATAATGAACAATGGCTGCAAATCTTGCATGCATAAGGCTAAATTTTGTAAATTGCTTGCTGCACTACAGGGAGGGGCAATACCAGAATGAGATCTGCTCTGATAGTTGAAAAGCAAGTGCCAATAGCCTTGTGGAAACTTGAAACGCCAGACTGCTATGGATCAGCTGAGAATCAGTTCGGAGTGGGTAACTCAATCCTAGGAAGCATAGTGATGCTGGGAAAAGTGCAGGACATAGTGGGTATCGTTGCCACAATGGAATTTCCTAATTGTGCTGGGGCGATAGAGGGACTGCAATGTGGCACCAGGCCACCTTGCCAAAAAGTACATGAACTATAAGGGGTACGTCTCAATGGTGTTGCAGGTGCTGGTGGATCACAAGAGCTGCCTCACCTACATAAACATGGAATGGTCGAGAAAGGTGCATGAGGCACACATCTTTAGGAACGCTAGTCCAAACACCAGATGAAGGACTGAAATTCTTCCTAGCCCTAGCATGAGCCATGAAGATGGGGAAGGCTTCTCCTTCATTACTGTAGCCAGACAGAGCCTCCCCCCCCCCAGTCACATTCATCTTGCTTGCCCCTCTGAGGTGCTTGGAGCACACAGGACATAGAGAGCAATAAAATCAGCATAGTCTTTGATGCCTTGACAGAGGCCTCGATATGCTGGCTCATCTGACCCTGATAAGAGAGGGTGGCCAAGACAATAGATGGCCTAGAGGCTGTGAAAACTGCCCAGGCTGGCACCTATGTTGATACGATCAGACAACCGTCCCTGGGAGAGGAATCTCCTGCAGAGCAAAGAATGTCCAGTACTCCCAATTTAGTTATCTCTCTTACATGTGTAAATTAAGTTCACATCTCCCTTGTAAGAACTGGCATCACAAAGACGAACCAGCACCATTTGGCACCATAGATAAGAAAGAGAATACGTGACCCCACGGGTATAAAGATGGGTCCAGCAGCACATTTACTCTGAGCATCTATCTGCCATCTACCTGCTGGTCAGGTTAGGTAATTGCCTCCCGAGGTCCACATGGGGGTGCCCAGCCTCATATTTGTCTTGCCTGGGGAATTGAGTGACCGATCCTGGCCTGACACACTGAAATTGAGAGACACAAAAGGGGGGTAAAAATTGTACCTGTATGTGTCCTTTTGTTTTAGTGCATGCATAGACTAGAGCTCTTTAAAGATTAAGCTGTCACATGGTACCCTTACTTTCTATCTTTCTTTTTCCTTTGTAACCATTTTAAGACCTGTACTTGCTAGCAGTTAAGAAGTAGAACAATAGCCACTCTAACCATATGCTTTATAAGTTTTCCTTTAATAAACATATAACTGTTTAAGCTTTAACCTGGCGCCTCCTGTTGCTGTAACAGAACCAGACACAATTAAAAGAACTCTAGCCTGTCAAAGGGGTAGACGCAGTGAGAGCTGGGTGTTTGGGCTCTGCCGCCTCCACAGGGAAGACCCTTGGGGCACCCCTCAGTCTCCCTAGGCTGCCCGCTGCGAAGGGACCTTGCATCCTAGCTCTCCCTGCAGACTCTTGGGACACCCGTCAGCCTTTCATAGGCTGCCTGCTGCAAAGGGACCCTGTCCTAGCAGTTGAAGACTAGGGTGTTTAATAGGGCTCATAGACCACACACTACCCCAGCCATCGGCTGACACTGGAAAATTACCATTGGAAATCTTAAAACACCAATAGTGCTCCTTGGAGACCCCTTACTCATGAAGTCGCATAGTCAGCCTGGAGCATAGTAAGGAGCAGTTCAACTACAGGTTGAGCAAGTGCAGAATGATGGTAGAATGTGCTTTTGGACATTTAAAGAGAAGATTTGACTAGGGAAAGCAACATTCCTATTGTGACTGCTTCTTGTGTGCTCCACAATATCTGTGAAAGGGGTGGGAGGGTCGAAGCAGATTGCCTAGCAGCTAATTATGAACAGCCAGATACCAGGGCAATAAAGCAAGCACATGGAAGGGCACGTCTATCAGTCACTTAAGGAGTTCTGATTGATTGCTCCCCAACAAGCCTCAAGATCTCATCCTGGATCTTGTGTTCATGGTACCTGAATGCTCTCCTCTCCTCCTCATGTGCCATTTGTATAATCTGCAATATCATGCTCTGTATATTTAATTGCTTCCTGTTGGTGTGGCAGATTGCATTTGCTCATTAAACATGTCTTCCTAAGTACATTTATTTTTGCCTTCTGTATTGTGATAGCAAAGTGTCGATGGATCGGGGTAGAGGACAAAAGACTCAGGCTAGGGCTACACTGTAGCCTTCTTCTGGAAAAGCTTATGCAAATGAAGCATGGAATGGAACAGTGCTGTGCTTCATCTGCATAATTAATTAGCAGCTGCTTTTGTGCAAGAGGCTTTTGCGCAAAAGGAGCTGTGTAGATGACTCCTCTTTGCGATTAAACCCCCTCTTGTGCAAGAGCTGTTCTTCCTCTTCCGCAAAAGCAGCTGTAATTAATGATGCAAATGAAGCATGGCGATATTCTATGCCACGCTTCATTTGCATAAGCTTTTCTGGAAGAAGGCTACAGTGTAGCTGTAGCCTCACTGTTGTACATGCTATAATGGAAAAAAAATGAAGGGTAGACTTTTAGAGATAACTGTAGAACACAGAAGCTAATCTGTTACTATGAAAGACAGTTGGTGTTACACAATAGACATGCTAAGTACAAGCAAAGTTGTGTGTTTAAGTCCCTGAACAGCAGCTATGAGACGGAGATCGCCATGGTGGAGCTGGATTCTGGTGGCAGGCATAAACAACAGGTTGAGGCTCTGTCTTTAGCTTTGAAACCATGTGCAACAGAGCGCCATACACCTATCTTGTAGGGCTGGAAGGGACCTTGAGAGGCCATTGAGTCCAGTCCTCTGCCCTCAGGACAGGACCAAGTACCATCCCTGACAGATACACCCCAGATCCCTAAATGGCCCCCCTCAAGGATTGAGCTCACAACCCTCTGCAAGGGGGGTGGAGCAAGCACGTGGGATTGCAGGGACTTGCTTCCCACTTACCGGGAGAGTGCAACTTTCTCTTCACACAGGGGCCTGCAGGAGGGATGGGGGAAGTGTGAGCTTGCAGGGGCTCATACAGCCAGCAAACCTGGGGTCGTGCTTTGTTAGGGATGAGCAGTTACAGACCTTTCTCTTCTTCATTCAGGCTGCCATGCACAGTATTTGTTTTCTTTGGTGAGGGAGTGGGGAGGGCTCAGCCGGGTGGCTCTCTGTCTCCCCACAACTAACACCCTTGGGCACACGCACCCAGCCCAGGAGCAGCCGCAGTACCAGCTCCTGGGGAAGAGCTGGGCCGGGGCCATGTAGGGACTGTCCAGCTGCTCCCGGGACAGGCTGTGTAGCAGGCCACTGCCAGAGCTGGAGCCAGGCTGTGGTGCGGCTGCTCCTGGGTTGGGTGCAGGCAGTCGGGGGTGTCAGGGTGAAGGAGTCACATTCTCACCCCCTGGGTGGAGAGTATCAGGCAGCACAAGGACAATGGAGGTGGGGGGGCTCACTGGCTGGTTTATCGGGTGTGGCCCGTGGCACTGAGCGGGGAGAATGAGGCTGAGCGCAGGCAGGGCCTCGCGGAGCGGAGTGAGGAGGCAGCCCAGCTCGACATGTTGGACACCGGCGTGTGCAGACAGCATGGCCAGAGCCGTGGCCCAAACTGCTGCCCTGCCTGCCCTCGTTCTGCCTGCTGCCACCCAACTGCTACCTCATACTGCCCCCGGCTGCCCCATGCCCCTGCCCAAGCACCCGCAAGGAGCTGCAGCCTCTGGCATCCCCCCCTTCGTCCATCTCTTTTCCGATCTCACCCCACACTGCACACCGGGTCAGTGCCCTCCCTGTTCCCACATGTTCCAGTCCGGCTCCTGGCTCAGGGCGCTAACAGCACTGAAGAGCGAGGAACTCGTGACTGAAACCTGAGCGCTCTTGCACTCGCTCTGTCAGGGACTGTGGTGGCCCCTTTTGGAG